AATAAATCAACATAGGAATATTGGATTCCTGGCTACTCATTTTGGATGTGATCCTGGTCCATATAAACCCCTCATTATAACTGATGAAGTTTAGTAAGAAATTGGTAGAATCTTAGATTCCTGATTTTGGACGGATTCACAAAAAATCAGGAAATCCAAAAATCAAAAAATCCAACTTTTTTTGGAACTATGGTGGCTCCTGAAAAAGTTTGATTTTTTTGGTTTTCCTAGGAAAACGTTGGCATTTCTTTTAAAAACCAACTTTTTCCTAGTAAAAAGTTGGTTTTCGGAAAGCCTGGGCTCCTAAAACCAACTTTTTCTTAGGAAAAAATGTTTTTCTTTGAAAAAACCAACTTTTTCCTAGGAAAAAGTTGGGTTTTTGTAAGGAACAGAATCGAAAAACCAACTTTTTCCTAGGAAAACGTTGGTTTTCTTTGAAAAAACAACTTTTTCCAAGGAACAAATTGGGTTTTGGAAAGCCTGAGCCCTGAAAACCAACTTTTCCTAGGAAAAACATTGGTTTTTTAAAGAAATACCAACTTTTTCCTAGGGAAACAAAAAAATCAAACTTTTTCAGGAGCCACCATAGTTCCAAAAAAAGTTGGATTTTTGGAGTTTTGGTTTTAGTGCTTTTGGTGCTTTTTCTGTTTCGGTACTATTTGCATATCTATTTAATAAGAAAGTTATATTAGCCATAATCCGGGTGGAAACCAGAAATCCAGGAGTCCAGAATTGCAATATTAAATCTATATAGATTTAACGAAGAATTGTAATGGACCAGAATTAAATATGCAATTAGGAGACCAGAATCCAGTTCAACACCAACAGTCAATAATCGTATTCATTTTAAAGAAATTAAATAAGGAATTTGTATGGATAGAATACAATTCAATCCGAAATTGGGGGGGTGTCCAAAATCCGATCATGCAAAAATGCTTGTTTTTATTTGTACTTACAGTGTTTTCAGGGGGTCGGTGGATCATGGGGGGGGGTGTCCATATATATATAGATATATATATATAATCTACATCTCTTGGCTTCAATGCCACTGCATCACGGCGACGGGTCGCGTATCACGGTCGCGAATCGCAGATTCCCAGATACAGATCCCGGATGCGCCTTGCGCACGCAACCGGATCGCGGATTGAGGATGTGGACCTCTTCGGCGATCCGGTCCACGATCCGCGATCAGTCGCCCGCCGCATCCCAGTTGACGACATCTGAATGCTGGTGCCAGAAGTGTTTTAGGATTCGTGGGCCTTTCAAGAAGGGAGTATCGAGATCAGCAATTACTCATATTCACGGCTCTTGGCATAAGAAGCCCGCAACGCGCAGCTTCCTGAACTTCTGAAAGCGCATGCTTTCCTCTTTTGTAGGCGAACTGAGAAGTTACAACACGGAAGTTTGCATTCTTGCTGCTGATAAAGCAGCTCCACTTCATAGGGTGCCTTCTTCATAAATGAACACAGCCCCCCTTGACAACTGGTAAAACAAGTGCTGCTTGCAGCACATACAGTTTTAACTCTAGCCATCGCATGCATGGCCCAGACCAGAGTAACATATATTAGCCAGCCAACCACGCTGAGAGCAGCAAGCACTGGCAAGCTGCCCAGCAACAATGCCACTCAAGCAGGACGGAGAAATTTAAGCAGAGCGCCAAAGGCAGCGCAAGAAGCAGCAAGCAACAGCAGAAAGTGGAAGAGAAGTGCGTCGCCACCTGCCTGGGGGCGGCATGCAAACCATGATAGTGAAATCGTAGGTCAGGTGACTAACTCATAAAACCCCAACCGTTGCCAAGTTGCGGGTCAGGATCACAAGTGCGGTGGTAGGAGGGAGTCTAACTACAGTAGTACAAGTCGTAAGAATTTTGGATGTTTCTGCTTGCAGCGCCTCATCATGTTCGATCCGTGTTGAACAAAGACAAACTGGTGGAAATAGCTGCTTCGAAAGGCAAAAGTCTTTGCATGCTCTTTTTCAGAAATGGCATTGAGGATGTGATGTCATAGGATGTCCACAGCGTGACAAGACCCATAAGCAAAAACGCAGTCAGCACATGTCAGGACAAACGGTCGATACAATGTAAGCAATGTGCTGTGTCCGCCTTGGAAGGGCTCCATGCAAGAATTCTCTTGCGCACCTCTTGGAAGGCCAAGAGATGTTTTGACTGTGGTTCTCCTCAGGCTCCTCTGCAATCTCTACCGTCTCTACCCAATCGCCATTGCAAAGTGCAGACCATTTTACCTCGTCCAATACGACACCCCCTTGCGGCCATGCCGCGCCTTGCACGACCTTCCAAAGAGTAGCAGTTTGCAGTGTCAAATGTGTCGAATCACCGGCAGTAGGCTTGTAGGCATCTTGTGTGTCGAGCGTGCCCGCATGCTGGGCAGCTGAAATTCCAACAGCCCGTGCGGCAAAGGAGGCAGCATCTGTAGAACATGGAACGTTGACCCAAATTCCTCCAACCTCTCTCTGTGGCGCGAACACATAAATCTGATTGGTATTTGGCTGTTGGTGATGCGTGTGTTGCAGGAGACTTTCACTTGAGAGAAGTCCAACTTCTTCAAGCATAGTCCCAAACCTGCCAAGACTTTCCTGCAGAGCTCGATGCAGCTTCTCCCAAATGCCTCCCTCAACACCATGCCGCAAGATTTGCCGTAAGGCATCAATGGGAGACCTGCTGCCAATCAACGCCATGGCCTGGTCTGTGATCTCCGTTTCCCTCCTCTTACAAGCATTAAGCTGAGAGCGCGCTTCAGATAGCGACTGACTTTCAAGCAGCTCGAGCGCACAACTTGCAACTCGCAAAGCTGCTGAGACATAATGGGTTGAAGCCAATAGGACTCGTGCAGAATCCAACAGAGCCAGAGAGTTCGCCTCGCAGTCCTGCAAAGGTTTTGATCTGGTATCCTTCACGACGCTTGCTGCCTTGACCTTCTCGGCTCCAGCTGTCAAGAACCCCTTCTTCATGAGCTGATCTCGAGGACTACGACTGTACCAACTGCATGCTTCTGTAGAACTGAGGCTTTCGTCTGAATCTCTGCAACCCTGAGTAATGCAACGACAAGTCGTAAACTTGAACACCCCGCCCATGCTAAACATGTTTAGAACAAGCAAATGGCTACAACTGTCAAAAATCCGGCGCGCCCAGCACGTTTGCACTTTCATGTCTGCAGCGAGCTGCCCCTTTTCCCGTTCTCAAGGTACGCAAAAATGCGCTGCATGGGTTGCTCAAACCTCAAATCTTTTTTCTTTTTACACTCGTCATCGAAGCATGATGCTCTTCAACAAGTTGCGGCTCTCATGCAATGATGCTGGCGAGGCCCTGAATTTGTTGCAGGCAATTTCAGTCCGCATGCTAGAAGTGCAAAGGAAAACTAGGAAGCTTGTAGAATTCGAAAGGCAGCGTTGCAGCATGCTTGAGTCCTGACGGGTTTCTGTTTCCTTATTGTTTCTAGGGACTTTGCCGTGGAACATCACAGAAGTGATGAGTCGGCCTCCAATACTACGGCAATGTCTTGCTCTCGTGGGGAAGGTCCAACTTCTTGGTCCTGGTATGTCCTGGTTACCTTGTAATTTGTATTTGATTAACTGCATCAAGCTGGTCTCAACCAGCCCGCCAAATCTGAGGTATCGAGAAACCACGGGCCCAAATGTTTTTGCTCGGATTACGTCGTGCCACCTCAATGCTGTGCCACGGAAAGGCCATTATTGCGCTAGAACAGGAATGTTTCACTGCCTGTATTGCACCTCGCGTCTTTGGAGAAGTCACAAGGCTGGATTTGGGGCCGCCAAATTTGGCGGATGCGTTTTTTCCTAGGCGTGGCTGTAAGGATTTGCTATAAGCCAGCGGCTGGCAGGATCCATGCCAAGGAAAAAAATGTCAGGGGGCCGGCCCAGAAGCGTATTTCTTCCCCAGGCGCAGCTGGAAGGATTCCCCACAGCTACGGCAAGGCCAAAAAAACACACGTCCGCGAGCCCGCAGGCACATTTTTTTGCTAGGCGCGGCTGTACAAGATTTGGCTAGCCGCGGCTGCAAGGATTCCTTGAAGGTCGCGGATTCTCAAGAGAATTCCCAGGACGCTCCACGCGCCAGCGCTCCGATGTGCCGAAGACAACGAGACGGTCGCCACTCACGCCCAGAGTTTTGAGGACGCTCCACGCGCCAGCGTCACGACGCGCCGAGGACACCGAGAGGGTCGCCACTCACGCCCAGAATTTCGAGGACGTGCTCCGCGCGCCAGAGTCACGACGCGCCGGAAACAGCGAGAGGGTCGCCACTTATACGCTCGGAATTTCGAGGACGCTCCACTTACGCTCAGAATTTTGAGGATGCTCCACGCGCCAGGATCACGATGCGCCGAAAACAATGAGACGGCCGCCACTTACGCTCAGAATTCCGAGGACGCTCCACGCGTCGCGCCGATCGAGCGTCTTCCTTCAAAACAAATGGAGCTGTGACCGCGGCTGACCAGAGCCTTACAGCCACGATTAGGAAAAAACACGGGGCCCGCCAAGCTCGCTGCATAGCCATCATATGGATGCTGCCACGTTTGAAGTTCAGATCCAGCTTTGACTCCAAACCCCAAGTTCCTACCTCAAAAGCGAGCTACATAAGCACACTCGAATCTGAAACAAAGGATAGGTCAGCTGAGTCTTGGGCCTGCTTACGATCAAGCAGCGGAGACGAGGTGAACCTTAGTCTGTGATGCTCTCATTTCAGTACACGCCTGCAAGCATCAGCCATCACACGGATTCATGGTCCAGGATACTTGCGGTCAAGTCTGTCTTGGCCTCATGCGTTGACCGAATTGGACGTTCTCCTGCTGGTGACCTTACAGCTCGTGGAAATAATGCATGCCCTGTCACTTGAAAGCATGTCAGAGAAGCAGGGTATGACACACGCCTTGTTGCCACTATGCTCAAGTTACCTTTCCGTGTCCACAGCGCCGACACTTTTTTCCGCCAAGCGTACGGAGGCTTACGCCATCCAATTTCCTACCAAAAGCTCGACACATACTCTCCAAGCCTGGCAAGACATCATGCCCGCTTGCATATGCAATGGAGGCAATCCTGAGCTCAGAGTTCTGATCGTATCGCCTTCTTCAAGTGCGGGCAGCGCTTGAGTCCCTGTACTTGCCTGTTGCAGTCGCACTTGCAAGAGAGAGGGTCAATGCAGTCGGAGTTTGCGGTATCGCAATTGCATTCACGAAGCGTCTGCATAACTTCCTCCTCTGTGCGAAGGTCACAGTAGGCGCATGCAGGACAAGTTGTGCTTGGATCTGGCCACACATCTGCACAAACTTTGCCAGGCACAACTTCCTCTACATTGTAATATGGTTCAGAATAGGTTGCTGCACTATCCACATATGTGCGGACTCGGCAGCCCTCTGACGATTCCTCGCAACATCTGTGGCAAGATACTGCGTTCGCCGAGGGATCTCCTGATCCTGCGAGCATGTCTTCAGGCGACCGGCAGCCACTTGTAACGCAACACCCCACTTGTGTGCAACAATCTGCATCTGCAATAGGGCAGTCACCAAGGTCAGCGGAGTGGCATGACTGCAACTGCCAAGAGCCTTTCGCTTCCACACATGTCATACAGTCAAGCGCTGTGGAGTGGACCCGGAGAAGACGCAAGGCTAACAGTGATGCACAAAACCAAGACTTCATCGACGACCATCTGCAAGGCTCAGGGCCGTCCCATCCCCTTGGAAAGTTAGAGCCATTGTAGACTGCCCCAAAGACATGACAGCTAATCTGCAGTGCTGACAGATGCGCGTTCCGAACTTTAAGGAGGCGAGAGCTAGCGAGCTGCTTTTTGCTGAGTGTGGGGTAGCGCGGGTGAGGTCCTCTAACCCTGCAGGAAAGCTGACTGGACCACGGAGCAATGCCTGCCTGAAAGGGATTCTCGGCTCTTGAAGATGCTTCAGATATGCTTGCTAGCTGAAACTTGTGTTATGGTTTTAAGTTGCTTTTGCAGCGAAGAACAGCTGTCAAAGCTGCGCGGAGGTCTCAGTGACAATTATTCTTCTTCATTGATGGCTTGCGTGATGTTGTATGCTCCCAAAAACCATGCCATGACCTCCCCTTAAGTTCTCCCGTTGCGCAACATTAACCTGCATTTCGACAGCCGCGAAATGTGCTCTTACATACCCTTACAGGTGCCAATGCATCGCCACCCATGGTATCCCATTTCAAGCTGTCTGCGCTGCAACCACAACTCTCCGCTTTCTTCCGCTCCATTCAAATTGGAAGCTGTTTCATCCAGCGATGCAGAAAAGCATGGATGCCCAACTTCGGTGCTGAAGTGGCTTCAAAAATGTCCCGAATTGCTAAGTCCAAGACCTGCCGTCCAGGGAATTGAGCTAATTTCATGCCTCGCGGATGTCAGACAAATAGCCAAGACAACAGGCTGCGAAAACTGCAAGGTGCAACCCCTGCCATATGGTTATATTAAATCAAGCGCAAAAAACGCTTTGCGGACGCCCTCTGCAAAGCGTTGGGCAAACAGCCCTTGCTCTTGCTCCAGATCTGACGGGTGCGCTCAACTACAGCTGGTCTTGTGAAGATCCACCTGCTGGTTGACAAGCACACGCATCTTTTCTCGCGTGCCAGTCCGCCTCTTTTGCAAGCCACGCGTGCCGGAGACCAGTTGCCTGCAAGGTTGCACGAAGTGAACGCCTTGCAATTGCAACAGCCCCTGGCCTTCGCGCATTTGGGCCAATCTCAACACATTTTGGAAGCTCCACATGTGCGCCGTTGAGCTATTAGCATGCATATGGTAAGATGCTTGCAAGCTGTGGCTGCCTCTTCTATTGGGGTCTGCAAGGTAATGTTGGATCCTCGTGTGGCCCTTGTTCAAATTTGTTTTGCCTTGGTTTATCACCATAGACAAGAGGAAGGGCTGAGGCCTGATCGAGCAAGCGGCTTACACGGTTCAAGAAGAAATCGATGACCGCTGGTTTCTGGCAGCATCAGATTGCAGATTCCGAAGGCAACAGAGCCTGGCCTGTACATATAGACACATGGAGGACTGGCATTTTAAACCAATAGCTTTTTGACCTCACCACTGACCCATGACAAAATCTTGACATTATTGAGCCCCGCCCAACTCTTTCAAACTATTGAGGTTCAGGGCCTGCTTGACAACCTCCCTGTGAAACTTGATTGCCTAGCCTGATCGAAGCGGTCCTGGCGGCATCAGATTCCAGATTCCAAAGCCCGGCCTTTAAAACTGACCATGCTTTTGGTCGGAAAAACTTTGTTCTTTTGGGGGGTCCAGCTTGAATACGAGGTAGTTTCGAACAACTCTTCTTCATTGGGGCCCCCACCTCGGGATTCAATATCGATAGACGTGTGTGAGTGCCAGATTGTGCGAACATGCCATCATTGGCCCTTCAAGCGCATAAATCTATTTGTAAAGATCCTTCAGCTCGAACGGCGCTGCCCCAAACAGAGCACAAACCGATTGAACTCAGCCTTGTTGCGAGATCCAAGCGAATAGGCCTTGTGTTTCTACGTAGGGCTATATGGAGCCTTGAAACTATTAGCGGCGGATAATAACCGAA